GGGAAGATTCAAATTGACTGGTCAATGAGAAGCCCATTATCTCAGTACCACTTAAAGCCACTTTAGGAGATAATGAGATTCAAGGAGATTGGTCAATGAAATACTGAAACTCACTGGGGCCCCTAGTGGTGGGATTGGGTCAGAGAATATGGAATTTTAGTCATATTTTTAGCATACTTCTAAATTACTTGACTAATTCACAGGTCTACCAACAGAACATCAGTGTACCTCTTTTTCCACAACCCCTCCATCTTTTATTATCTTGGCCACTTTGCTAGGTGTGAAGTGATACCTCAGAGTTGTGTGGTACAGCAACTCTCACACAATTAAATTCAGAGACTTCTCAAGGTGGAAGGAAAAAATTACTCTTCATTACAATCTCGCGAGAAGGGGCATCTACTCCTCCAGTACACTACCAGCAGGAGAGAGGAGCAAGGTTATATATCTTAACGCAAACAAGAAACTCCCACCCCGCCAGTATCCCTTACTCCCATTGGCTGGGAGGCGGGCTTACATTCTAGGCGCGAAAATCTTTCCCATTAGCAAAGAACAAGGAAACAGGATATAGCCAATCCAAACATACATGTCCTTCTTTAGTATACTTAATGCTTACGTGGCAGTGGCAATCAGGAGAGGGTTTAGGGCCGAATTAAACTTATGGCCTGTTCGTTGTCTCAGAGCCTATCTCTAGTTTCGAGACAGTCTTTTCATCACCACCCTGAGAAGTCTTCACAGAGGTTATATCTTATTCAGAGCTATTTTGATTCATATTTCTCTTATTATTAGTGACTTAGAGCAATCTTTCATAGTCATTAATAAATTACAAATCTTTTGTGAACTTATCCCTTGGGGATCTTGTTCTTATATATTTGTATAAGTTTCCTATATATCTTGGATATCAGGTGTTTATCAAAGAGATTTGCTGCAAAGATTCCCCCCCACACCAAATGACAGCTTCTCTTCTTAAAAAATACCATCTGAGTTGCTATGGCCAAAGGGAAAAAAAAAAAATCACCCTAAGTAATGAGCCTTTCTAATTAGCCTGGCTGTTCTTCGTATAAGAGATGAACAGTTTCTCACTAGACCCATATTCGAGGTTTTTTAATTTTGGTAGAATGTTGATAAAGTTATTGTTGAGGTTCAGGGGTACCCCAACAGGTGGTCTTGAAAGAATTTAGATTATGCTGTCTCGAAGTCAAGTAAGGCACTTAAAAAGGCATTTATTTTGGGTAACACAACATATCAAGCATGCCCCTCTGCTCCTTAAGGGATATGCCCACTAAAGGGAACATCATCTGATTAAAGAAGATATACCCTGGCCAGGAGAGGCTAGGGATTCTTATAGAGGAAAACCTGCCATGATTGGTCTGAAGATGAGGTAACCATGGACAGAGTTCAGAATTTTGGGCATTATTTATTATTATTATTATTATTCCATTGTGCATTCCATAGGTGTGTGTGTGTGTTAGTTTCCATATTTCATTGACCAGACTACTTGAATCTCATTGACTAAGGTGGCTTTAAGTGGTACTTGAGATAATGGGCTTCTCATTGACCACTGTATTTGAATCTCAATGGTGTCAAGGTGTAGAGGCAACCGTGATTGTGATGTAGGGGAAAGAGGCCTAGAGTAGAAGTCTGGTGGCTTGAGTATAAATTCCAGCTCAGCTACTTGCCACATACCTATATGATCTTGATTAAATCATTAAATTTCACTATGCCTAATTTCCCCATCTATAAAATGAGGGGGTTTTGGATTACATGATACCAAAAGTTCCTTTCTGTCCTAAAACCACAATCCCATAATCATGACTCAGCTTGGGCTCCACTGGCAAAGGAAACTACCAATCAAAGCTTTAGTTTTCTAACTAAATTGGTGTTTATCAATGATTTATCAGATTTGGGATTCAAATCATTAAAAGTTGTTCATCCATTTAGGGGCATACATATGTCAGTAGTTGTTCACCAAATTTGGGGGGATCACACAACATTGGTAACTTATCAAATTGTGGGACAGACACAGAAGTCATTGTCAAACTATACTATTAAAGTCCTTATCTTGTTACAGAAAAACTACTTACATAACAATCCTGTTGTTGTTCAGCCTAGTCTGACTCTTCATTGCCCTGTGGACCATATTGTCCTTCAGGTTTTCTTTGTAAAGATACTTTGCCATTTCCTTCTTCAGTGGATTAAGGCAAACAGAGGTTAAGTGACTTGCCCAAGGTCACACAACAAGTAAGTGTCAGAGGCCAGATTTGAACTCAAGGCTTCCTGACTCTAGGTTCAGTGCTCTATCCAGTGAGCCACCTAGCTGCCCCTATACAACCACGAAGTCACAAAATGAAGGCATAGAACAGCAAGAAGATGCTCATCTTAAATTAACAGTACTTATTCCCACTACATCTTTATAATGTAGAAGCATAGATTTACCATTTGAAGGCACGATAGGTGGAGAACAGAAATTTCTTAGGGAAATTGATTAAGGGTGGTAACCAAAATTTAGAATAAAGAATAACTCCAGTCTGGTCTCCACTTACCAGAAATAAGGGCTATTAACTTGTCTAGAGGCAGTCTTTGTGCATTCTTACAGGGATTGACTAAGGATTAAGATATTGATCTCTGGAAGAATGTCCTCTGGGAGAACTCTTGAGGGGAGTGGTCAATGGAAGAACTGGGTAGTTTGCTTTGGAATGTTAACCCCAAACTGCATTTTAACATATTATGATCTTTTCATGTTCAAAATTTCTACAAATGTCACTTCAAAATCATCTGGGAGTAGGGAGTCATGTCAAATGTCATGAGGGTAACTACGCCATTTGTACATTTCTCTTCAAGCTAGAAATGGTATGGATATAAAATGTTAAATGAAATTATTTCTGACAGATTTGTGCCTAAAACAGAAAATATTAATATTTTTCTTGAACATTAGGAATGATAAAATGTTACATGGGCATTAATTTATTTAAACATACAATAATCGCCAAATAATGGGGTTGGAATCTGGGCCCCAGAAAGGAAAAACCCTGGATTTTCCCATGTGGCCAAATCTCTGGCATTTGCCCAAGGCTATAATCCCATCAACTGGCATTTCATTACACCCAATCTCCCCTCTGCTGTCTTCCCCCTTAATCCTAGCTAGGCTCCTTTCTCCCTTGGCCCCAAGGTCCAGGTCCCAGGAGTTCTGTTCAACCCAGTTTACTGGCCAGTCCTAGGTCCCTCCCACAGGCTTTCTGTATATAAGGTCCATCTTGTCTCCATTAAGATGCTTGGATTCTTATAATCTAGCCACTGCTCAGATTCTTAAAATCTAGCCAATAGTTTACTAATGTTCAGACTCCTTAAGAGTCTGCCCAATATGATGAATGTTCTAATAAACCTTCTCTTTGGCTGAAAGAAGGCTTGGGTCGAATTCTTTCGGGCAGGACCCCTCCTCCAGCCACCCCAGACTACTTGGCCACTCCTAGATCCTGCCACAGTCTTTCTGTATATAAAATCTATCTGGCCTCCATTAAGGTGCTCAGATTCTTAAGATTTGGCCCCTTTATGTTATTCATACAAATGCTTAGATTCCTTAAGAATCTGTACAATATGGCTGATTCTTTAAATCTCACCCACCCCTTGATTGATGTTCTAATAAACCTTGTCTTTGGCTGAAAGAAGGCTTGGGTCAAATTCATCCGGGCAACATCTGTGTGTCGTGATTTTGGGGTCTCAGCACCCCTAAACCTTTAAACCTCAACTTAAGAAAAAGAAAACAGGTGAAGATATCTAACGCTATTAGATATCAAAATGTTTGCTGTGTGTGTTCATTGAGGAACTGTTATTTGGTGGGAAGGGAGTGAAGCAATGCATGTAAAGCTTGGGTATTCTACCCAATAAGAAATAGTGATCACAAGTTTAGCTTGAACCTGAAGACTACATGTCCTTTTCTAATAATATTAAGGAAGCAGATACCTATAATTCTAGCCCAGTACACTGTCTCTGAAGAGAAAAAAGTGGCCAAATTTCTGGTCCCAACATCCTGCTTCCCGTTCTGGCAAGATTTAAAGTCTCTCCTCCCCCCCCCCCCCAAAAAATTAAACCTCCTTTTGGAGAAAGGTGGAAGGAGAAGAGGTTAGGGATATTTGTTTTGCCTCCCTACCAGGTGTAATAACAACACTCCCATCCTACACGTGGGGGACATCTCTTGCTACAGTATCATAAAGCAGAAATTACAAAATTTGATAGTAGAAAATGAATAGAACAAAATACAAAAAATCATTAACAGAACCTAAAATATAAAATATTAGTGTTGATAAACATATACTTTAAAAATGATGAGAAATGAAATCACTCTTCAATAAAAACTACTGGGAAAACTGGGTAAGTTGTATGGCAAAAATGAGGTTTGGATGTATACTTCACGCAGTATGCCATAACGAATTTTAACTGGATTTATGATATTTAGAATAAAAATGGACGGAAATTTTAGTAAACAAGCAAGACGTCATTGAACACAAAATCAGTAAACAAGCATTTCTTAAGAGTGGCGATGTCAAACTCACAGTATTGCAAAATGATAATTCCTTTGTACTCTGGTCTTTAAGCCCACATTTGGAGCACTGGGTTCAATTCTAGGTGTCATATTTTAGGAAGATCATTGATAACTTGGTCAAATCATTTAACCTCCCTGGGCCTCATTTTTCTGATCAGTAAATCGAAGGCATTTCTGAAATTCCCTCCAGCTCATTCATGACCCGCGTTTTGATAAAGTGGAGACATGAGGAAGGTAGTCAGAATAAAGCAACTAGAGATCATGCATTATAAAAGTGGGTTCCAGGAACTGGATATTCAACGTGAAGGAGAGAAGCATTTTTGCTATCTTTTTTTTTTGAAGACCTGTCACTTAGAAGGGGGTTAGAGGTTCTATTTGGCCCCAGGAGCAGAGCCAGGTGGAAATTACAAGTCAGTCAATAAGCATTTATTGGATGCCTAGTACTACGTGCTAAGCCTTGGTGATGGAAGAAAAGGCAAAAGACAGTCCCTGCTCTCAACGAGCTCACAATCAAAGGAGGAAGACACCTCAGCGGAGCAAACTGATCCTGACAGGGCAACGGAGGGTGAGAAAGATGGTGAAGGTCTGGGGTGGGAGAGATAGATTAAGGACTCCCAGAGAGCAGAGGGAACAGGATGTTAAGACAGCAGGAACTGACAGCCGGTGGGAGTTCCCAGGAATACGCACGCGCATGCGCACGCGCGTCCCGAGCACAGGCAGAGGAAAGACATCTCCCCTAGAGGCGGCAGAGCTTCCGGCTTCCGCAGGAAGAGGGCTTGGGGACACAATAAAGGACGGACTGGCAGCTTGTTCGGGCGCCGGAAGGGGATTCTGGAGCTTGTCCCGCCGGCTTCAAAACGACATCTCTGTTCGCCTCCTCCATCTCTCCGTGAGTAGGGTCGGCTTCACTGCTGCTGCCCTTGCCGGACACCATGCTCATTTCGTGAGATCTCGGGACATCGACCTGCCCCTTGCGTGTGTTCGCATCTCCGTGAACTTGATCCCGCGATCACTGTCACCTTGCGTCATGGACCCTGGTCCTTGCAGGGGCCTCTGATCCACCCTGGACGTCAGTGCCGAGTAACACGCCTCCACACACATCCCAAATTGCTTGGCTCCCCATTATCTTTAAGGTCAGACAAAAATATTTCGGGTGGAAGTCCCAAACGTTCTGTCCGCTGATGTTTTTGGGAATAACAACAGTAATAAGAATAGCATTTATATAGCACTTCAAGGTTTGCGAGGCGCTTTACCTACGTTATCTCATATTCAGTCCTCACAACAACCCTGGGAAATAGGTGCTGTTATTGTCCCCATTTTACAGATGGGGAAATGGGCTGAGAGAGGTTGTGACTTGCCCAGGCCGGGTTTGAACTCCCTGACTCCCAACGCCAACACTTATCTGTGCCTTTTTGCCGCTTCTGTTTTTCCAACCAAATTGCCCTATTATCGTTTAAATGAACACAGTTGTGTGTAAAGAGCCGTGGACTGGTAGTCAAGAAACGTAGGTTTTGTTCTGCTTGGTCATTAGCTTAGTAACTTAATAGGAGCTGGGTTTCCCATTTGTAAAATGAGGCAATTGGACTAGAACAGGCTAGGCAATTGGGGTTAAGTGACTTGCCCAGGGTCACACAGCTAGTAAGTGTGATGTGTCTGACCTCGGATTTGAACTCAGGTCCTCCTGAATCCAGAGCTGGTGCTCTATCCACCTAGCTGCCCCCAGATCCAGGGATTCTTAACCCGAAGGCCATGGATGCCTCAGGATAACCTTAAAAAAAAAACAACTCCAAATAAAACACATAGGATTGCAGTGGAAAAGTTATATTGAAATACAGTTATAAAAATAGTAAAAACAAACCTAACCAAAACAAAAAACCCAACAAAAACCACCAAGTTTGAAGACCCCAGGTTAAGGAACCCCTGGGCTACATGACATTTCCAAAAGACTCATGATGAAAAATGTTGTCCACCTTCAGAGAGAGAACTGATGAACTCTGAAGGCAGATTGAATTTTTTTTGGCTTTTGTTTTTTTCAGGTATATAATGGGTTTCATTTTTCCTACCTTCTTAATGGCTGAAGTAGGGGGTGAAGGGAAGGAGAGAATTTGGAACTGAAAATAAAAATTAAGATTAATGTGAAAATTTTAAAAAGGAAAAAAAAGAACCCCTGGACTAGTTGATTCTTCAAGTGCCTTCCAAACAATAAATTTCTGTGGTGATAGCCATTTTATAATGCTTATTGATTGTACCTGAAATCCAGAAGACCTAAATTCAAATCCAACCTCAGACAATTAGTAGTTGACTGACCTTGGGCAAACCATTTATCTCTGTGTGTCTCAGTTTTGTTATTTGTAAGATGAAGGTAATAATAGCATTTACTTCCCAATGTTATCCAGACGGCAAAATGAGATATTTGTAAAGCGCAAAGAACCTATGTAAATGTTAGCTGTTATTATTCTAAAACATGTTTTCTAGTTCGTAACTGCATTTTTGATTATATAGTTTTTCCTGCTTCAAATGCTTACCTCTTTCTCTTTACTAATCTGTGACAATTTCTTCCTTCAACGATTGCCTTAAAACTTTCCTTTTTTTTTTTTTTTTTTTTGGCAGTTGGGTTCAAGTGACTTGCCCAGGGTCACACAGGTAGTAAGTGTCAAGTGTTTGGTCTGAGGCCAGATTTGAACTGAGGTCCTCCAGACTTCAGGGCCGGTACTCCATCCACTGCACCACCTAGCTGCCCTAAAACTTGTCATTTTAAAAGAAGGCTTCCTTGGGGCAACTAGGTGGCGCAGTGGATAGAGTACCGGCCCTGAAGTCAGGAGGACCTGAGTTCAAATCCAGCCTCCAACCAATCCCATGACACTTACTAGCTGTGTGACCCTGGGAGAGTCACTTGACCCCAATTGCCTAAAAAAAATGACTTCCTCAACTAGTTGTGGCCTACTGTGATCATTCTGAAATGCCCACAGCTCTTTGGCACCTCCGTAAGCAGTTCTTACCTAATTATTTTTCCTATAATTCATATTTTGTTCTTTTCTCTTGTTTGTATATTATCATATATTTACTGAATAGATCTAAATCTTAATGGCTTTATTTCTTAGATATTAAGGAAGATATTTCTTGTAAGTTTCTTGGGTTGGGGAAAACGTAGGAGGTTTTTGAAAACCTAGTAAAAGATCCAGAAGTAAACAGGGTGGTGACTTGTGATTTTAGAATGAGCCTAGAAAAAAATGAATTACCAAAGTAAATCTGTTTGGTGTGAAGAGCCATCATATTAGAAGATATTTGTTAGAAATGTATTTTCAAAATGAAACTGCATAAATATCTACTGCAGTTGATGTATGAGAAATGTCTTGTTTACATTAACAGATATTTCAGATCTGTGTTGATTTTAAAACATTTTTTATAGGAGGAAAATGAACATAGGAATAATACTGAAGTTGGAAAATCTGATGCTGTTTCCCAGCGCTTACAGGCAGCTGCATATTCTGTGTCGAAGAAGAGTTTGTTTGGTACAATGGAAGCTTGTGCCCTCCTTCACTTACCCTGTGCATACTACCCTGTGTGTACCACAATCCTGGCAAACAGACACGTTCATCAATGTTGCTTTATCACCGTGTAGGCTTTTAAGTTTAAAGAAGGTACTCAACATCTGTTTAATAGTCACTTTATTGTTAATGCTAAGATAAAAGTACCCAGTGCCATTCTTAAAATAATTTTGAATATTTTGTTATTTAAAGACTCCTTATTTATAAATGCTGCATACTAAGTGATATTTTTTGGTGGGGGTAGGGAGAAGAAGAGAATTTTCAATTGGCCAGAAATACTGATAATAATTGGCATTAATATAGTGCTTCAAAATTTACAAAACTTTATATATTATTTCATTTGATTCTCTCAATAACCTTTTATTTTCAGAATTATTATACCCATTCTGCAGATGAGAGTAATGGACCTCAGAAAGTTAACCTTCCCATGGTCACACAGCCAGTAATTTTCAGAAACAAGATTTGAACCCAGGTTTCTCCTGATTTCAAGTCCATCACTGTCTGCTACCAGGCTGCCATTTTATTACATTAAAAACAGTATATGTTGTCTTAAATTAATATTGTTACATGTCACTTTCAGCCTGAAGATCAAATTATTTGTGAAAATATATATTTGAAAAGAATTTAGTAGCTATTGTATGAAAAAAAGATAAGCCACAAATAATCTAATTGTGCCACTTAGATTTCTTTCTTCTTTTATATTCTTCTTTTTTTATAGGGAGAAAGACCACAGAAATCTAAGTTACCTTGGAAGAACTCTAAAAAGGAACAGCAGGAGGTAGAGGTATGGAATGGAATGAGTGTTGAAGACCTTGCCAGATCTATGAATAAAGACATAGGTGAGCCAGATGTCTTTGAAAGGAAAAGAAAGCCAAGAATACTGGAGAGCTAGTGTTTATTTATCATTAAATTGAGACAATCAAGGATGAAAAATAGAATATAGTTTAAAGAATAACGTGTTTAAGTGTTTTCTAGACTTCTTCAGGTTATGGGTCATAATTAATCCTGTGTCTAAGACAAATCCAAAAGACTCACGATGAAAAATGCTGTCCACATCCAGAGAAAGAACTATGGAGTTTGAACGCAGATGGAAGCATACTATTTGCTCTCTTTTTCTTGTTTTCTTTCATTTCTTCTTTCTCGTGGTTCCTCCCATTAGTTCTAATTCTTTATATCATGATTAATGTGAAAATATGCTTAATATGAACATATAAGTAGAGCCTATATCAGATTGCATGCCATCTTGGGGAGAGGGACAGAGAGGGAGGAGGAGAAAATTTAAAACTTAAAATCTTTTGGAAATGAATGTTGAAAATTAAAAATAAATAAATTATTAATAAATAAACAATTAATCCTAGGACAGATTGCCACATACAGTTTTCTGTCTTTAGCAAAATAAGAACAAATATTTTTACTTCTTTAACCTTTCTTAGAAATTGATGTAGATTATTGAAATGAGGCCAAAGACTGTGTTTGATATTCCTGTATGCTTTTTCTCATCCATTTTTTTCCTTCATTGATTCAATATTCCATAAACATTTATTAAGCACCTACTATGTGCAATAAACTCTATTAGGTCCTGGGGTTAATAAGTTAAAAGATGATATAGCCTTTTCCCTCAAGTTGCTAATAGTATAAGGGTAAGAGGTATACACAGATCACTGTGTAATACAGTAAAGGATCTGATGAGATACAGATGAAAGATCTGATCCTCCATATGAGGAGTTAATTGAGCACAACAATGAGAGATTGAGGAAAGAGGGGTAACTGCTTAATGAGAGTGATGAAGTATCAGGGAGGTCTTCATGGAGAAGGTGGGACTTGAGGAAAAAAAGATTTCAGTATGGGGAGTTACATAGACGGAATGTGTTTCAGATGTAGGTAGAGGGATTACCTTCACAAGTATATATGGAGGTATATGAGAGCAGGATGAGAATGATAATTCTTTTTTGGCTTCATATGAACTAGGACTTGAATGATTGAAGACCTCGACTACCAGGATAGGGCATTAATGAAGGTCTTTGAACAATGAAAGTAGTTGGTCAGACCTGCATATTTGAAAGATGGCTTTGTCACCTGCATAAAGGATGAATTAGAGATCAGTTAGTAGTCCAGGCCACAGGGGATGACAACTTGCCCTAGGGTCATGGCATTGTGAATGGAAAAGAGAGGATGCAAAAGGGGTTATTTCAGAGAGAATTGACAGGACTTGTCAACTGACTTAGGAATGGCATGTGAGGAAAGAATCAAAGGAAAGAATCAAAGATGACTCTGTAGTTTTAAGTCTGGGTGCCTAGGAATATGGTGATATTTGCAATAATTGTTTTTTTTTAGCTTTAAATGCTAAGATTCTAAGTGGGAAAGTTAAGAGAAAGGGCTGGTTTGTGGAATAAAATAAAAAGTTGTGGAAATGGTGAATTTTAGGTGGTGGCAGGACTATCCAGTTGGAGATATAGAGAAGGCAGCTTGGTGCTCAGGAGGTGAGGAGTGAAGCTATATATTTGGAAGTCAGTTGAAAGAACATAATTTTGAAATCATAGCAGTAGAGATCACCAAAGGAAAAAGTGGAGGGCTGAGGACAGACCATTGTGCAATACTCACGTTTAGGGAATTAGGGATGAGGAGGTAGGAAAGAAGGCAGAGAAGGAGGAAGAGAACTAGAATAGCGTAATATAATGGAAACCAAAGAAGGAAAGAGTGTTAAACAGTGTCAAACAGGGTCAAGGAAGATCTGAGAAAAGGCCATTGTCTTTGGCAATTATGAGGTGATTGACCTTTAACTTTAAGAAAGCCGTTTCACTGGAGGATCTGGAACAGAAGCTGGTTTGGAAGGATTGAGGAATGACGATGTAAAGACCAGGAAGTGATGACTTCTCTATTGAGACATTTGTTGGTGAAAGAAAGGAAAGAGGATGGTAGTTAGAGTAATAGGGTTTAAGGAAAGTTCACCTTTTTTTAAAAAGGGTACTTGACAATATTTGTAGGCAGAGGAAAGGAGTGAGACAGAGCAAGATAATTGCTAGATCGAGTCCTATGAGTAGCAGGAAGAGATGAGATCAAGGGCATAAGAGAGGAATTAGCGTTAGAAAGGTGAAAGAACACTTCTTTCTGTAGGACAGTAAGATTTGTTTTTGGAAATGCCAGAACAAATTTACGATAACATTTTATTTTATTTTTTAAGGCAATTGGGGTTAAGTGACTTGCCCAGCGTCACACAGCTACTAAGTGTCAAGTGTTTGGTCTGAGGCCAGATTTGAACTCGGGTCCTCCTGACTTCAGGGCTGGTGCTCTGTCTTCTACGCCACCTAGCTGCCCCAATAACATTTTCACCTATAATATAGTTTTGTAGTTTTTGCTTGGCAAGGACAGCATTGGAGCCAGATTCCCAGTTAGGAATGTGCTTTGTAATTTTTCCTCTTCTGTCATTATGTTCATGAAAATATTTTAATCATCCGATTGGGATGATAAAATAAGTTAGGAAATCAAATTGTAAACTGTTTTATTGGTATATTTCTGATTTAAATTCTTTATAGAAAAACAGTGACTCATAATGCAGATTGTTGAAACAGGAAGAAACAAAACCTAAACCTTAAAACAGCAGCAGCTTTTTTTTTTGATGAGGCAGTTGGGATCAAGTGACTTGATAGGTTACAGGTAGTAAGTGTCAAGTGTCTAAGACCAGATTTGAACTCAAGTAAAACAATAGCTTTTCAATAAAAATAGTCTTATGTGAGCCAGTATTTTGTTTAACAGTGAGATTGGTAGAGTTGCAATAAGCCAAGAGAAATGGGGTTGTGTATTCCCCACTCTCGAAATGCTTCACATTTCAATGCATGTGAGTTAAAAAAAAAACTCAATTTTATTTATTCTTTCAGTGCTTTTTTTTGTTTGTTTGGTTTTCAGATTTGTTCATCTTTTCTTTGATTTTCAGAATTTCTATTTTGGTGGTGAATTAGGATTTTAAGATTTGTTGGTTTTCTGGTTTTTTAAGTTGCATGGGCAATTTATTGATCTGCTTTTTCTGTCTCCTATTGATGAAAGTATTTAGAGATATAAATTTTCCCCTAATGACTGCCCTGGCTACATCCCAATAATTTTAATATATTATCCCATTATTGTCATATTTAACAAAATTATCTCTTGTTTCTATGATTTATTCTTTGACCCACCAATTCTTTAAAATTGTTAGTCTCAAATTAATCTTTAGTCCTTTCCTTAATAATTTTTTTTTAAATAAAATTCTTATTGTAGTGTGGTCAGGAAAGATATATTTAGTATTTCTGAATTTCTGCATTTATTTGTGAGGTTTTTATGCTGTACATATATAACCTTTCTCTCTTTCATTTTTATTTCCATTCAGAAATTATGGCGATCTATCATATCTAACTTTATTGAAATTCTATTTAGATCCTTAATGTCTTTCTTTTTGGTTGGTTGGTTTGTTTTTGGTTAGATTTGTCTGGGTCTGAAAGGAGTACATTGGGGTGTTCTGCTATTATGGTTTTACTTTATATTTTTCCCTGTAACTCATTTAGAATTTCCTTTAAGTTAAATATTTGTTCACTTTTAAGTATTTAAATGCTGTTTTATTTGATGCATTCATGTTAAGTGTTGATATTAATTCATTATCTCTTTTACCTTTCAGTAAAATATAGTTTTACTGTTTATCTATGTCTGTGGCAGCTAGGTGGTACAGCAGATAGAGTGCCAGACCTGGAGTTAGGAAGAGTCATCTTCCAGAGTTCAAATCCAGTTTCAGATACTTACTAGCTATGTGACTCTGGGCAAGTCACTTAACCTCTATCTACTTCAGTTTCCTCAACTGTAAAATGGGGATAATAATAGCAACTACATCCTAGAGTTTTTGTAAGGATCAAGTGAGGTGATATTTGTAAAGGGCTTAGCACAGTGCCTTGCTATATAGGCAGCATATATATATGTAATATATAACACATGTATGCATTATATATCATGTATAATAAATAATTATATATAATCATCTTATTACAATTATGTATTATATGTACTTATACTATATATGTAGGTGCTATATAAAAATGGTACTACTACCACTACTACTACTGCTACTACTACTACTACTACCTTTAAAACCTTACTTGCTAAATATTTCCATCTTTTCTCTAAAGTTAATTTGTTATACTCATGACTAACCCTTCCCTGAGTCTCCATTCTTATGCCCCTTTCTTGTTTTCTCCTGTGTCTCTGTTGAGTTAAATGTATTTTTACATCCAACTCTGTGTGTGTGTGTTTGTATCACCCCTTTTGTGATCATTTTGGATGAAAGTGAGGTCCAAGTGTTACCTGCTTCCCTTAGCCCTTGCTGCTTCTTTGTATAGTCTTCTGTTTGTTTACTACAATTGTTTGGGATAAATTCCCCCACCCTTCATTCCCATTTTTTCTCTATGGTATTCCTTTCCCCCTTCATTTCCTTTCTTCTGTAAGATCATCAAACATAACAAAACCATTCCAAGGCATGCTGTCTTATTTAATGACATTAGGGTTCTGGGAGGACAGTTGCATCCTATCTCTTCTTAAAATATAAAACACTTCATCCCTGTTAAATCCCTTCCAGTTGATCACTTGTATTTGCCTTTTGCTATTTCTCTTGCTATTTTGTTTTTATGTCAGAGTTTCTATTCCACTCTTGTCTTTTCATTAGGGATGCTTGGAAGTTTTCTATTTCATTAAAGATCCTGTAAGATTATACCCAATTTTGTTAGGTAGGTTATTCTTGGTTATAAGTTTATAACTTTTGCTTCCTGGAGTGTCATTCCAAGCTCTTTGCTCCTTTATTGTCACAGCTGCTAAATTTTGTGTGAGTCTAACTGTGGGTCTTAAACTTGTTCTTTCTGGCTGCTTGTAGTATTTTTTGACTTGGAAGCTCTGGATTTTGGCTGTGGCATTTATTTTGTGATTTCTGTCAAGAGGTGACTGATGAATTCTTTCTATTTTAACTTTGTCCTCTTGATCTAATATGTCTGTGCAGGTTTCATTTATGATTTCTTGAAATTTTATATCCAAGATCTTTTTCTGATTGTGGCTTTCAGGTAGCCCAATAATTCTTGAATTATCTCTTCTTTATCTGTTTACCAGGTCAGTTGTTTTTGACTTGAGATCTTATACTTTTTCCTCTTTTTTAGTGTTTTGACTTTGTTTTAATATTTCTTGTCTCATGGAGTCATTAACTTCTATTTTATCTGTTTTAATTTTCAAGAAATCTATTGCATGGGTAAGGTTACCTCTAATACTACGCTATTAATTCTTCAGAATCTTTCCATGAAAGCACTCATTTCTTTTCCAGTTCTCTCTAAAATTCTTATTTAATTTATAAAATCTTTTAAAAAATCTTTTTAAAAAGTCTTATTTTATTTCTTTTAGTAATTCTAGCTAAACTTCTGCCCAAGCTGTGTTTTTCCTCGAGGCTTTGCTTGTAGATGTTTGAAATCATTCTCTTAGGGTTTGTGTCTTGAGATTTGCTGTCATAATAGTTCTTTATGGTGAGATTCTTTTTTGTTTATTTACTTATTATTTTACCCTTGCTCCTGCAATTAAGGCTTTTAGTTAGGGCCAAGCTCTTTGCAGTTCTGGAGAGAATGTCTGGGCCTTGTTTCTTTCCTGATTTGTGTTTTCTGAGATCTTGCTGCTCTTCTGGGTATTAAGTACTGTTTTCTTTAAGGTTCTTTGGAATAGCTTAGTTTGGGGATTTGCAAGCTTTCAGTGTGCTCAAAGTGGTCTGATCTAGTGTAAAAATGTATTGTTGTACTCCTAATCTGAGTTTTGCAAGCTTCTTACTCGTATGGCTTGCCCCTGGTTGTAGCTCTTGTCAACTGCCCCTGGCCCCATCCCCTTGTAAACTAATTGGAAGGCTTTGCAGTTTCAGAGAGACAGAACTGTAGGCTCTCCCTTGGCCTGAGCTCCTTGCCCTGGTTAGTTAGCTGCAAGATTCAGGCCAAGCTTTGGGATGAATTTAGTACTCCATTCCGGGGTCATGCTCAATACACGGCCTGAGACTATTCTTTGACATATTGTGGCTACATGTTCTCTCCTAAATCCTGCAGGATCTTTGATGCAGCTCTAGGGTATTCAGAACAGACCTTCCAGTTAGCTCTTCTTCCTATTCCCTACATAGCATCAAACTCACTACACAGAGAACACAGTATCAGGACTACTTGCCCTTGTGCACAGCTGTAGTTCCTACTTTAGTTTCCTTACTGAAGGCTCTGCTGGTGTCTTCCTTGCTAGATCCAGTGTCTGGTACTTGTGGGCCTCTATTTTTCTCCTTATGTTGACTGGGAAAATGATGATCACTGTGATGCTTCCTTGGGTTTCTTGACCACTACTTGATCTGGTTTCTTTTTATAGATCTTTGTTGGAGTACTTTTGGGGGAGAGCTGAGCTGTACTGCTTCCTCCTCCAACATACTTACTGATTGCTCATCTTAGAACCCTTGTAACCACAATGTCATGATAGTGGTTAGAAAATCAGCATTCAACCTAAACATAACATCTATAAAACACATTGTAATTTTTTACATGCAAATCTTAGATTAATGGAGAAAACAAATACACAGAATCAACAAAGAAAAATTATGCAGAACGTCCTGTAATAAAGCTGTATCTGTAATGGTCCTATAATTAGTATTGGTAGATCAGGTCTGAAAGGTTTGCTAAGTCCAATGGAACATCATCATCTCAAATTTGGTTTATTTTATTTTTTTCCAATTTTTTTTGAACATTTTTATTTAAAGTTTTGAGTTCCAAATTCTATCCCTCCCTCCCTCCCTTCCCCCCGCTCTGAGATGGCAAGTAATTAGATATAGGTTATACATATGCAATTATGAAAAACATTCCTATAGTAGTCATTTTGTACAAGAAGACTCAAATAAAAGAAAAAAATTTAAAAAAAAGTGAAAAATAGCATCAGTCTATATCCCAACAATATTAATTCTTTCTCTGGAGGTGGATAATATGTTTCACTGTTAGTGCTTTGAGATTGTCTTAGATCATTGTATTACTGAGAATAGTTAAGTCATTCATAGTTCTTTATTGAACATTATTGCTATTAACTATGTACAACATTCTCCTGGTTTTTTTTGTATCAGTTCATGTAAGTCTTTCCAGGTTTTTCTGAAATCATCCTGCTTGTCATTTCTTATCGCACAATAATATTCTATTACAATTGTATACCACAGCTTGTTTAGCTATTCTCCAATTGATGGGCATTCCTTCGATTTCTAATTCTTAGCCACCACAGAAAGAGCTTCTATAAATATTTTTGTACAAATGGTTCCTTTTCCCTTTTTTTGGATGTCTTTGGGATATAGGCCTAGCAGTGGTATTGCTGGATCAACGGGTATGCACAGTTTTATAGTCTTTTGGACATAGTTACAAATTATTCTCCAGAATATCCACCCCATTTTTAGTGTACTTGTAAAAGCCTGTATGAGTATCACCATGTTTAGTAACATTTATCAATTGTGCACTCTATGCTTTTAGGTATTTCAAAAGGACACTAATGCTTAACGTTTTCATATTTTCATTAATGACTTCACTATTTCTGTCAGATGCCAGTATTCACCCAAGTCATTAATGTTCGAAACCTTGATGTTATTTTCCACTCTTTTCTTTACTTTTTATTTCTAGATAGTTACCCAGTCTCCACAGCATTCAAATTTGTCTCCTCCAGTCTATTCCCCTTGACATCATCAAAGCCTAGGTCTATTTTACCACCTGACCAAACTATTATAATAATCTCCTTAAAGATCTTCCTGCTTTTACTCTTTCATCTTGTCAATCCATCCTTTATACAACCTTAGATGAATCTTTCTTATGTGTAGATCTTATTATATGATTTCTACCCCAAAATGTCCAGTGGTTTCTATCACTTACCAAATAAAGTTCATATTTCTTTGTCAAGGAATTCAAGACCCTTCACAAACTGTCACTGTCTTGATTTTCAACCTTATTTCAAATTAGTCCCTTTCTCATACTCTGTGCCCCAGTCAAACCATAATACTCACTAACTATTGAATACACTCCCAGCTTTTTCTCTGCGTTTTTGCTCAGGTTGTTTTCCTATGACTGGAATTCTCGTCTTTTTTCTTTTTTGACTGTTGAATTCCTCTACCGATCCCTTAAGGCTCATCTCAAGTGCCGTCTCATCCAGAAAGCATTTACTTATAATCTTATTGGTAGAGACACAATATTTTTTTTTAATCTTTCTAATGGACTTAACAGATAGCTCTGTGTGTTATAGTGATCTGTGTTCATGTCTTGTCTCCCTTCTGAACCTTAAGATTCTTGTGAGTAGTTACCTTGTTGTGGTTAAACTTTGCCTCCTTTCTGGTGCCTAGCCCAATGCACTTGTGTCTATGGGCTTTTAAAATAAGTATTGATGAAATTGAACATAGTAGTACTTTATTCTTCTTCTTAAAAGCTGTATCATCCCTTTCACTAGATCATGTATATGAGGCCCTGTTGAACACTTCTCTTGACATTGACTTACTTGAGCCTGAGTCACCCCTAGATGATGTTTGGATTAAGGAAGTTTTAAAAAAATCGGGGAAGAAGTACAAAAGAGCCCGACTAAAACAAGATAAAGTCAGAGAAAACAAAGATGCTGTGAGAAGGTAAAAACTCAAGTTTAATATTTTTTTAAAAATGGAAACACCAATCAATTACCAAGGATTCGTTGAATACTTACTATATGTTGGTTTCTGTGCTAGATGTTGGGGGTACAGGGAAAGTTGCTTCTCTCAAGGAGCTTACATGTTCCTAGGAAGACTTCATGTACATAGAGGAATATATACAAAGCAAATACAGGATAATTCTAGTGGGAAGCATTAGCCAGTTGAAGAGGATAAGGAAAAGCCATATGTAGGAAGGAAACTAGATATTCTAAGAATTGGAGTTGATGAGGCAGTGCGTTCTAGGCTTGGTTATTTACAACATATGCTTTAGGAATTGCTTTATATCTTGAAAATGCTGTTAGTATATTAAGGTAAATTTTTTCTTATTTCAAGTATCCAAAGCATTTTAGAGCAGCATTGTTACTTTAAGATATATTTGATTGTTAAAAATGAATGAGGATTGTGTTTCTCATTTTGTATGATTGATGTATGATTGTATATGTTTATGTATGATTGATAATTCTTGAATAAAAAATTTTGGTTCAGCAAATATATATTGAATATCTATTAGGTATTTACCCCTGTGTTAGGAGTTGTAAGTATGCTAACTAAAAATGAACAAATTGAATTCTCAAACTATTTCATACATGTTTTGGTCATGAATAACTTTCATATCTAGAGCAAAGGAAGTATAGTGATGTTTGTGTAAGTGATGATTATGCATTGTTGATTTAAAGAGCAAACTGACAACCAGTAAGTATATAGGATATACAATGTTTCTAACAGTTTTGGAATGAAAAATTCTTTGCTATTAATTGTAGGCCTGAGGCAGATCCAGCTTTCTTAATCCCAAGGTTCCCAGTTGTTACCATAATGGGTCATGTTGATCATGGGAAAACAACTTTACTTGACAAACTGCGAAAAACTCAAGTAGCAGCAATGGAAGCTGGAGGCATAACTCAACATATTGGTGCCTTTCTTGGTATGAACAGAGAATTATCTTTTAATATGCTTAGGCATGCCATTTATAATTTTCATATGTCAGTAATGTGAAATGCAGTGTTTCAGTTTAAAAGTATGGAGAGGACAGAGTGAAGCACAAACCTACTACTGATTTGGATGAAATATGCTTAGATACTTTGATAAATCCATGATTTCTTTGGTATGAGGACTACACCTTCATCACTGCAGAACACTGCTGCTTCAATGCCTTCTTATCTTAAGTGACTCTTGTCCAAATTTTTCCTTAAATTTTTCATGATTTAAATATTGCTATAACAATAACAACAGCATTTGTTATCATCCTCATCATCATTTGCATACCAGTACAGTATTTGGACTGTCTATCTGACTTCTCTTTTGCCAGCTACTCATGAAATAGGTACATTTTGTAAGAGGTAAATTTAGTGTTCTAATCCTTTTTCTAGTCTAGGTAAATGTATGATAAACTTTAAACTTAAAATCATTACATAATTCTGGTTGGATCATGTGTTTGTAACTTTGTTTCTGAGATGTTAACAGTGTTACTCGGGGAATTGATGTGGCTATTGCTTTCTTTTTTCTAAAATTGAGTGGTATACATAGGTGAAACATAGGTTCTTTCTCTTATCCCTGATTATTCAGGTTTTTTTCTTCAGAATATAGATAGGCATGTTTTTGAATTTTGTTGTAAGCTTGAAATTTAAAGAATGCTACATAACAAAAAATACTTCATGTGCAGTGTAAAGATGATATTGATGCTTCATCATCTTTTTTTAATGCGAATTTATCATCTCTACTCTGAATTCTAATTGTTTGCTAGAACAAATCAAATCATTACTTGTTTCCAAGTACAATACATTCAGTAATGGCACTTGTGTTTGTTTAAATTAAAGATGATGCATTTTTAATTTCTTGTCTCTTTGAAATTTTGCTTTCATAGTTTCTCTACCTTCTGGGGAAAAGATAACATTTCTTGATACTCCAGGACATGCTGCCTTTTCAGCAATGAGGTCCAGGGGTGCTTACCTCACTGATATTATCATCTTAGTTGTGGCAGCAGAAGATGGAGTAATGAAACAAACTGTGGAATCTATTCAGCATGCCCAGAATGCTCAAGGTACTTTGTATGATTGACTGTTTTTGCTTCAGTATTTGATTAAGTGTAGAAATGTTCATGGACCTAGCACAATTTAAGAGGGCCGTTCCAGTCACAGACCTGTTCTTCTAAATCCCCAAAAGGAATTTCATGCCTTATTAGAGGGAATGCTTACTACTAACTGTGCAAAGTATAGGAAATAACTTGACCTCCTTTTGCCTTGGTAAAATTGGGATGGTACTTATTCTCCCTTTTGAAAGAGTTAGTTTTGTGAAAGTATTATAGACTCTTCCCAGAAGGAAGTGCTGTGGTAATACTGATTCTCATTGCTTGCTTTATTGTTCCTAGTGGGATTTATCCCCGTGCAGTCATAAATCTTGTTTCCAAATTTAGGGACAATCCTTTCTCTAATATTCATGGATTTACTTTGTTGACATCTCAGGCACACACTCTTATCTGAGTCTACTTAATAGATTTATTGATAACTAGCTCCCTGTATTTATGAAGAAAATCTGTCCCACATAGTCAGACATAGTTTCTCTTAAGTCAGACCTTTATAGTAGGATACAATTTACATGTGACACAGGCATATTAAAATGTAAGGCCCTAGGCACATTTTTCAATGCTAGATATATGGGTTATTCAGTTTTGCATTATTTTAGTTTCTGCTTCCCTCCATTAATGTAATTGAGAATTCATTATGCCAGGTAAATAAGAATGAGTGCTGGTATTACTGAGGATGGTAAATAAACATATTAAAGCAGTGGGTAAACTATACAGGAATGGATTCTTTTCCTTTGGTCTACTAATGTGAAATCTATAGGATTAAGATTCTTGAGAGCAGTTACACTGTACTTTAGATCCATATTCTCAGTAGGCGTGATGAGATTGACCATAGACTCATGAAAGCTTTTTGAAGGTCTCTGATTATGGTTGCCTAAAACATTTGAAAATCTTCACATTCTTCAGTCTAGATGAACTTAATTATCTCTGATTGTGTGTGTGTATTTTGTATTTACATTTATATATGTGCTTTTATAGTTATATGTTTTTTATTCCTATTGCTCTCAGATAAGGATAAATAATACATTACAGATGAATAGATTTTAAAGTTTATAGTATTTTTTCCACATAGCTTATCTCATTTGATCCTATATTGGGTCTTACAGTAGTGGGAGAAGTGTGAAATAATTTTAATTTTAATTTATTTAATTTAATTTAATTTTTTAAAAGATTCATTAATTTATTTATTTTTAGTTTTCAACATTCACTTCCACAAGATTTTGAGTTCCAAATTTTCTTCCCATCTCGTCCCTCCCACAACCCCAAGACAGTGTGCATTCTGAATCCCCTTTCCCCAATATTTGTTTTTGAAACTTTGGGTTCCAAATTTTCTCCCTTCCTCCCTCCCCTCCCACCCTCATTGAGAAGGCAAGCAACTCGATACAGGTTATACTTGTGTAGTCATGCGAAACACTTCCATATAGTCATGCTGTGGAAAACTAACTATATTTCCCTTCATTCTATTCTTCCTCATCCCCCTCAACCCCTCCCCCGTTTATTTTATTCTCTCTTTTGAACCTGTCCCTCCTCAGAAGTGTTTGCTTCTCATTACCCCCTCCCCCAGTCTGCCCTCCCCTCTATCATCCCCCCCGCCTTTATCCCCTTCTCCCCTATTTTCCTGTAGGGTAAGATAGCTTTCCATACCCAATTGAGTGTATCTGTTATTCCCTCCTTAAGCCACATCCGATGAGAATAAGATTCACTCATTCCTTCTCACCTTCCCCTACTTCCCCTCCACTGTAAAAGCTTTTTCTTGTCTGTTTTATGTGAGATAATTAACCCTATTCTGCCTCTCCCTTTCTCCTTCCCACAGTATAATCCTCTCTCACCCTTAATTTTTGAAATAATTTTTAAAGACATATGAGGAATCCCTCAGTTGTACTTAGATGTATTGCCAATAATGTACTTCTGTTTTAGTCTTTTAAGTGCTATTTCCATTTTCATGTTATGAGATTGCATTATTTGGTAAAAAAAAAGTATACACTAGACCACGTACTATGAGACCTGGACTTTTGTCGTGAATGCCCATTAAGAGCTCTAGCATCTTGATCAAACTGGGTGGGAATGGTAGTGCATGCCCCTAATCCCTGCTAGCAGGGGAGGCTGAATGAGGCTTGGAGACCTTACTTCTGAACGGTAGGAGAGCTAACGTCCATTGGGTGTCCACGGTAAGTTCTTCATTAATGTAGTAAGCTCCTGGGAGTGAAGGGCAGACATGCTATCTGTGGAGGGAAAACTCACTTAGGAACAATTCAGAGCTTCCATAACTATCAGCACTGGGACCCATCCAGGAGTGGCTGCTATATATGTCCAGCCAGCCTGTCTGAGAGAGGGAGAGACCCAGCCTTAAAAAAACAAACAAACAAAAAAAACCTTGATCAAATTGCTTTACCTTTCTGGGCCTCAGTTTATGTATCTGTAAAATTAGGGGGATCTTGTTGGCTCTAAAATTTAGTGATTCTCTATTTTTAATTAGAGCATTTGCATGCTTTGTCGTTTTACTAAGTACTGAAAATCTCTAGGAAGTTTCCAGGGAAGTAATCAGAGACTAAATTAAATCAGTGACCTGCAGATGATATAGCTCATATTTTCACTAGGTTTCCTACTGAAAACACAGGCCCTGGTTTACGTCTTTGCTGTGTATAATATAACAGAAACAGTAGCTAAAGTCAGTAAAGAATTGCTCACTTTTATACTTACTATCACCATTAGACTTCAAAGTGAATGTTGTAAAGCCCCTGAATAAAGGAAAATCATCATGGATGAGGACTTATCTTCTTAAGTGACAGAGAAGGAAGTTGTATTGTAAACTCACTTATCATTTCACCTTTTTGAAACTCTTCTTTTTTTAAAAGTTCCAATCATTCTTGCTGTAAACAAGTGTGACAAACCAGAAGCAGATCCTGAAAGGGTAAAGAAAGAATTGTTGACTTATGATGTGGTTTGTGAAGAGTATGGGGGTGATGTTCAGGCAGTACATATCTCTGCACTTAAGGTAAGTTGTCAGAAACTCAGAGATAACCATATTCAGGTGATGATAATAATACATTAAATTTGTATAGCTCTTCAAGGTTTTGAAAGGCAGTTAGGTGGCACAGTAGATAGAGCCCTCTACCTGGAGTCCAGATCTACTAGCTGTCAGATCCTGGGCAAGTCACTTCACCTTTATTTGACTCAGTTTCCTCAACTATAAAATGGGGATAATAATAGCACTGATGTCCCAGGGTTGTTGTGAGGCTCAAATGAGCTAATATTTGTAAATGCCTGGCACATAGTAGGTACTTAATAGGTGTTGGTTTCCTTCCTTGAAAATGCTCTAATATATATTATCTTGTTTGATTTTCAGAACCAGTCTGTAAAGTAGGCAAAGCTGATAATATTTTGTGGAGGAGGCATAGAGTAATAGATAGAATACTGGCATTGGCCTGCCTGGATTCATATTTTACCTCAGATACTTACTTGCCGTGCAACCCAGGACAAGTCACTTAATCTCTCTAAGCCTTAGTTTCCTCATATTTAAAATGAGAAGTGTGGATTTGATTGCTACTGAGTTCCCTTCCACAGCTATATCTGTAATCCTATGATTTTATTTCCCTCATTTTGCAGTTGAGGACACTGAGCTTCAGAAACTTTAAATGACATACCTGAGGTCATACTGCTTAATTCTGGAACTAAGATTAAAGACCACATTTTCTAACTCCTGTTCAAGGGTTATCGTGATGGCTCAGTGAAGGATAAAAATATTGAAATTTGGGTCAGGGAAATAATAGGCTAAAAATATTTTATGAAATTCTAGGAAGATTGAAACAAATCAGGGAGTATACTTCATAGGTTGTTGATTGACTTTCAGTAACTGTTGCTGTTAGGTTTGGAGCATGCCATAGTTTTCTTTTCACTTAACTAATTAGTCCCTTCTTGCCCCTTAAATACAGTGAAGGGTAGGTCCTCCATTCATCAGAGACTGCTTTTAAGTAACATTAGCTATTTCCTTCACATCTGAGAAGCCCTCTGTATGCCTGTAGCAAACAGATCTTTTTTTTTTTTGATCATCAGCTAACATTGAACACACACACTCACACATACACGCAGAGTTATATTCCTACAATTAAATTCTCATTCTGTCTTTACTTGCCCAAAATTTGCTGGGGTCTCAAGTGTTTAGAAATAACTTCCTATGTTAATACTAAACCTGTCTCTCTCTTACAGAAGCTCTCATATCTATAGTGTATTTTTAAATTTCCTGTTACATTCCTTGATTTATATTTTAGATCTGCATGAAGTACAACAGTCAAGCTTATGATAATGAGGTGAAGCTTTGAAGCCTTGGGCAGCTGGAAATATAAGACTTTTTCTCTGATAACATTAGATAAGTAGCAGATGTATGAATCTACCCAGGGAATGGCAGAGATGATTTCCAATGAGCGTTGGCAGTGAGACTTGGTTTTTCCATAGTGGGTAGCAGCAGACAGCTCCCTTTTTTTTTAGAAGAAAAGTAACACTTGCCTATCTGCTTATAGAAATAGTTCCTTTACTATGTATATTGAGTGAGAATTAATCAAATCATAAGAATCAGAGCATCTTTTTTTGGGAGACCTTTTAGCTTATCTGGCTTAGCCGTATTCATTTTATATATGAAAAAAATGAGGCCCAGAGAAGAAAAATAACTTGAATAAGAACACATAGCTAGTGAGTGGCAAAGCCAAGATGTGGCCACAGGTTTTTTGATTCTGAGTACTTTGAACTTTCTAAAATACCTTTCATTTACCCATCATTCTTGCCCTATTGTTATTTTTTATAACCATTGTCATCAATCTCACTAGTTCTAAGTCTCATCATCCCATACTATTTTGTTGTTGTTCACTTGTTTCGTTCGTGTCTGATTCTTTGTGACCCTATTTAGAGTTTTCTTGGTAAAGATACTAGAGGGGTTTGCCATTTCCTTTTCCACCTCATTTGACAGATGAGGAAACTGAGGCAAAAGGGTTAAGTGACTTGTCCAGGGTCACACAACTAGTAAGTGTCTGAGGCTGGATTTGAATTCAGGACTTCCTGACTCCAGGTTCAGGAATCAGGCTATCCACTCTGCCACCTACCTGCCCACTATGGGCAGGTACTGTAGTAGAAAGAACACCCAGTTAGGAATTGAGAAACCTGTTATAGTTCTATAGTAATTGGTGACTTTAGGTAAACCAGTTAATCTCTCTGAACTTCAGTTTCCTTGTATATTAAATGAATATAATACTAGTCCCTTTTGCCAACTCATTTGTTTGTTGTGAAGTTCATATGAGAAATGTGTGAAAAGTTTGACAACTTTGAAAGACTTAAGGACCCTGATCAACACAATGACCAGATTCCAGAATACTCATGATGAAATATGCAGTCCACTTCCTGACAGAGAGGTGATGGATTCAGAGAGCAGATGGAGACATATTTTTGGCATGGCCAGTGTCAAGATTTGTTTTTGCTTGACCATACATATTTCTTACAAGGGTTTTGTTTTTCTTTCTTATTCAAGGGGTTGGGGGAGAGTGGAGGAGATAGATTTTTGTTGACTTAAAAAATTAAATTAAAAAAAAGAAAACAGTTTGAAATGTATAAAATTCCATACAGAAGTAAAATAACATTATTGTTAGGAGAAATGATGAGGGAAGAAAATTCAACAATTCAACACACATTTATTAAATACCTACTTAGTGTTAGGCACTAGGAATATAAAAACAAAAAGAAGATTGATAAGGGCAGGTTTAGGAATATATGAAGGATTAAAGAGAGGAAGATAAAAAAAAGTAGAGGAAAAGAAAAGGTGGGATGTATGGTGGTGAGTTATAGAGATCTACCAACAGTGACTAATGTGGCATAGGTTGCTTGCTTCCTTTTGGAACTTTTGACCTTGGGCTGACTTTCTTTCTAGAAATTTTCTTTTTAATTGGTTCTTATAATTAATTAAAAATTAATTGAATACCCTTTAAGAGGAAAAAGTATAATGTATATACTAAAGATTAGTGTATTTTCTGTCTTAAGCACAGGTATATAGTGAGTAATTGCATCCCAGATAATTTTTAGTAATTTTTTTTTTGCTTTTAAAGGGTGACAATCTGATGGCTCTGGCAGAGGCAACAGTTGCTCTTGCAGAGATGTTGGAGCTGAAAGGAGATCCCACTGGTCTTGTGGAAGCAATAGTGGTAGAGTCTCGAACAGATAAAGGAAAAGGGTAGGATTGCAAATATATGTACAGACATACATATACATGTGTGTGTATATATATATACACATATATATGTATTTTTGCTATTTATTGGTTATGCTTTCTAGTTAAGCCAATGCTTGGTAGTAATTATATTATGTAGCTCTATTTTTCTATTCTAAATTTCCTCTTATTGTATTTGGTTGTGGTACTATTTTTCATTATTGACTAAACATTTCTACTCTTAAAAATTTATTGGTATCTTTGGTTTTTATGTCACCTCAATTTTTAATTTATCCCTGTCTCACCAACAAGTTATCCTTTGTAACAGAGAATAAAAAGGAGAAAAAAACCAATTCCTTAAACTCCAAAATCAATTCCAATAGTATATGCAATGTTGGACTCCCATAATTCCCCTTCATAGCAAAAGAAAGAGGAAGGTACATTTTCTTAACTCTTCACTTGGGGCCAACCTTGGTCATTACTATTACACAACTTTCAGGTGGTTTTTTGTTTTTGTTGGTCTTCATTTACACAGCTGTAGTTACTGGGCATATGACTTTGCTAGTTTTGTTTACTTCATTTTGCTTGATTCATAAGTCTTCCTGTGTTTTCTTTGAATTCTTCATATTCACTATTTCTTATGCAATAGTAATAGTGCATTACATTTATTTATACAGTTTGTTTAGACATTCCCCAGTCAATAGGTATCTACTTTGTTTCCAGTTCATTCTTGTCACAGAAAGTGCTACTATGAATATTTTGGTGTATATGGGATCTACCTGTTGTTGACCTTCCTTCCCTCCTACCCTTTCTCCTTTCCTTCCTTCTTCCTTTTTTGCAATTTACTGTCTATGTTAAAGTTGAGTTTGTCTTCCTTAGGACGAATTCATCTCTTTCCTTTTTCCCCTTTCCCTCTTGCTTCCCAGTTGAGTGAAATGCATTTATATACTCAACTGTGTGTATAATGTATTCTTCCGTCTTTTAGCCAGTTCAGATGAAATTGAGGTTCAAGTATCACCTGAACCCTTTCTCCTTATTTGTATGGACTTCTACATTGTGCCCTATATTATAATGTAAACATTTTATCCTTGTTTAGTCCTTTATGATTTCTTGCTCATATTTACCTTTTTGTTTTGCTTGACTCCTGTGTTTGTATTTCAAAACTCAATTCTGGGCTTTTCACCAAGAGTGCTTAGAAAGTCCTCTATTTCATTAAAGATCTATTTTTTTTCTCCTATAGGATTATACTCAGTTTTGCTGGGTAAGTTATAAGCCTATATGCTTTGCCTCCTGGAATATTGTATTTTGTTTTAAATATTTCTTATTGATGTTTTCTATTTCTTACATCATTGTAGTATTCCATGTATCCTTCCCCCTGCCCCACCCTAAGACCAGTCCCATGTGACACATGGTTTTTGTTTTTGAAAGAGGAATAAAAATAAGCATAATTGATCAATACTGAAATATATAATTTAAGCTCTCAGCTTCTTTATAATGGTGGCTGCCAAATCTTGTGTGTTCCTGTCTTTCCCAAGTACTTGAATTCTTTCTTTTTGGCTGCTTGCAATATTTTTTCCTTGACCTAGAAACTCAGGATTTTGTCTATAATGTTCCTGGCACTTTTCATTTTAAGGTTTCTTTCAGGAGGTGACCAGTGGATTCTTTCTCTTTTCGCTTTTTCCTTTAGTTCTCAGAGATCTAAGCAGTTTTCTTTTATGATGTCTTGAAATAGGATGTCTAGGCTCTTTTTGTTTTGGTTATGGCTTTCAGGTAGTCCAATGATACATTTTTTTAAAGAAATTATTTATTTTTGTTACATTTTAAGTTCCAAACTGTCTCCTTCCCTCCCTCCCCTCCCTAGAGAAGGCCACCATTTGATGCAAATTTATAAATATATGTAAAAATCATACTATGTGTACTTCTATTTATTAGTTCTTTCTCTGGAGCTAGATTGCATCTTCCTTCATAGGTAGTCCAATGATTCTAAAGTTATCTTTCCTTGAACTCTTTTCTAAGTTTGTTGTTTCTAATAAGAGATATCTTATACTTCTATTTTTCAGTCTTTTGACTTTGTTTTAATATTTGTTATCTCATGGAGTTACTAACTTCTATTTGGTACGTTCTCATGGTTTTTATACTTCTTGTGTTAAGCTGTTGATTATCCTTTTAATTCTTTCGTTTCTTTTCCATTCCTCCTCCCTTCTCCCAAATGGAGGCACCTGTTTCTTTTCTGTCTCCTCTAGTACTCTCATTTTATTTATAAAATGATTTTAAACTTATTTTTAAACTCTTATTTCATATCTCCCAGGAGTTCTGGTTGAAATTATGTCCAAGATATGTTTTTCTTTGAGGCTTTGCTTTGCATATGTTTTGAAGTCATTATCTTCTTCAGGGTTTGTATCTTAAATGTCTCTGTCATCATTGCCCTTTTTTTTTTCTTTTTTTTCAAAGTAATTTATTTTGATTTATCAACAATCACTTCCATAAGCTTTTGAGTTTAAAATTTTTCTCCCCCTCCCTCCCCACCTCCCTTCCCAAGACGGTGCGCAATCTGATATAGGCTATACGTATACATTCCTATTAAACATTTTCACATTAGTGATGTTGTAAGTAAGAATTAGAACCAATAGGAAGAACCACCAGAAAGAGGAAACAAAACTCAACAGAAGCAAAAAAACAGCAAACAGTATGCTTCGATCTGCATTCAAACTCCATAGTTCCTTCTTTGGATGTGTATAGCATTTTCCATATTGTAGGATTATGATTTTTAATCCATTCTGCTGTCTGCTTCCGTCTTATGGGAGAGTTCATCCCATTCACATTCACAGTTATGATTACTATCTGTGTCTTTCTCTCTATCCTTTTTCCTCTCTGTTTATGCTTTTCTTCCTCCTTTCTCTTTTTCCCCCCTCACTAGTGTTTTGCTTTTGACCACTGCCTCCCTCAGTCCCACCTCCCTTCTATTACCCCTCTCCCTTTTCTTCTCCTTTACCCTTACTACTCCTTCCCTCCCTTCTATCCCCCCTCTCTTTTCTTTCCCCTTTTCCCTCCTACTGCCTATAGGGCAAGTTAGATTTCTATACCTAACTGATTATGTTATTCCCTTTTTGAGCCAAATCTGATGAGGGTAAGGTTCAAACAATGCTCATCTCCCTCCCTTCTTTCCCTCTGCTGGAATAGGTTTTTGTGCCTTTTCCTGTAATATAATACCCTTGTTTGCCTCCTCCTTTCCTTTTCTCTCAGTACATTTTCTTAGTTAGATCAGATTAATCTATGTAATTGGATCCATTTAACCCACTTGATTAGATTTTTTTTTATCATTACATCAAAGTCAACTTATACCCACCCCCTTTATGTATACTCCTTTAACGTGGTGTAATAACAATACAGTTCTCAAGGGTTACAAGTGTCATCTTTCCTTGTAGGGATGTGAACAGTTTACCCTTGTTGATAACATTGTTTCTTTCTGTCCCGTTTACCTTTCTATGTCTCTCTTGAGTCTTGTATTTGAAGATCAAATTTTCTGTTGAGCTCTGGTCTTTTTATCAGGAAGGTTTGGAAGTCCCACATTTCGTTGAACATCATAGCTCTTTATGATGAGATTCTTTCTTCGTTTGCTCATTCTTCAAGCCTACTTCCTGATTTATGACTTTATGTTAGATCTGGACTCTGCATATATCTGGGGGAAGTGTCTAAGTGAACTTAGATCCTTGTTTGTGTCCTCCTGGCTCCTGGTTTAGTCCCAGGGTCAGAGTCACACAGCTGCTACTTGCTTGTGTATTACATCAATATCATCATCATCATCATCATCATCGTCATCATCATCGAGCCTTCATCAGGCACTGTACTAAGCTCTTTACAAATAGTATCTCATTTGATAAAGGCACCTGGGTGACAGTGGATAGTATGCTAGTCTGAAATCAGGAAGACTTGAGTTCAAATTCATCCTTGACTCTTAGCTGTATTGTGGCTCTGGGCAAGTCACTTAATCTCAATCTACCAGTTTCCTCATCTGCAAAAATGAGGTTAACAGCACCTACCTCCCAGGGTTGTTGGGAGGATCAAATGAAATAATATTTGTAAAGCCCTTAACACAGTGCCTGGCACATAGTAGGCACTATAAAAATGCTTTTTCCCTTTGTTTCCCTTTCCCTTCCTTTGATTTTAACAACAGCCTTGGGAGGTAGGTGCTATTATTGTCCTCATTTTTACAGATGAGGAAACTGAAGCAGACAGTGGTTAAGTGACTTGCCTAGGGACACACAGTTAGTAAATGTCTCAGGCTACATTTGAACTCAGATCTTTCTGACTCCAGACCTGGTGCTCTAACCACTGTGCCGCAGTACACAATATAGGGCCTATGGCTGCTTCCTGCCCTGACATGCCACACTAAAGTTCAGGTCCCCTTCTTGTTCCACCCATGGATCTATGACCCTGCATTGGTAGTCAGGGACAGAGCTGAAAGTTGGCACCTGTTTCTGTTCCCCGCGTAGTGCCAAGTCTCTGTGTTGTTTCTGAGACTTTTTCTTGGTGTGTACAGCCCTGGGAATGCCCTTGTTCAGTTTAGTCCTAGTGCTGGAAGGTCCTATGCTGCTGCTCCTGGCTAGACCCCCATCCTCAGTTGTCTGCAAGTGGAGGCTTAGAAAATGCTAAGCACCTCAGGATTGCCAGTATTCTCAAAAGTCATAACAAGTAACCTTTTTATTCCTCTGTTCCCACCTGTGGGAGCACATTCCCTGTGCCAACCCCAGCTCAGAAAAAGACTCATTATGATTTTTTTCTTGGATTTCTTTGTCAGGACTTGATCTGGTATGTTTTCTGGATTTTACATGGAGTAGTTGTGGAGGACAGCTAGGATGTACTGTTTCTTTCTATTCTGCCATCTTGGCTGGCCTTTGATCATACTAGGATGATACTTATGATCATACTTTGATCATATTTTCTGTGATACTACTTCCTAAAGATGGAGATTTTCCTTCTGCATCCAGTTCTCTTCTCATTCCCAACCATTTCACTCACTTTACCCAGACTCTGCGACATCAAGATGTTTTCATTAATTGCCCTTTTCTGGGTACAGGGGGAGAGAGGGGCCTAGTGTTTGTAGTCATGTCGTTGTGGAAAAATTCAGGAATGAAAGCTTAGAAAGTCCTAAACACTTCAGGATTATCACTTATTATCTCAAAAGTCATAACAATTAAATTTCCATTCACCTGTTCCTACGTGTGTGAAATCCACAGCAGTAGTAAGAGAAAATATTTCAAACCTAGTGATTTCTAGTAATACTATGTCTCAGGTCAGCAAGGAAGTTTATGACAGACACTTCTCATACTGTATATTTTGGTTCTGTGCTGATTACAACTGGAACATTGGATTATTGAGCAGGGACTCCTTTTTAAAAAATCACAATTGTTGACAGTTTTAAAGGAATTTTGTTTATTATTCTGATGTGGTTCCTTATAAGAAATAGTTTTTAAATATAGAGAAACAGTTTAGGGTTAGAAGGGTGGATCTCTGTGTACAACCCTAAACTTGTTTAGAAGTCTTCTCGATGGTAGTTGAGCGTTTCCTTGAAATTTGCTTTTTGAGATCATGGAAACTTAAATGTATACGATCATAATGGCATCATTTTGGGGTACAATAAAATGTTTTGACTGTGTATGGATTATGACAGTAGGAGTTTTTCTTACAAAGTTTCTTATAAAACACTTTTTTCTTCTTTTAGTCCAGTAACTACAGCTATAATTAAAAGAGGAACTTTGAGAAAGGGTGCAGTTCTGGTCGCTGGAAAGAGTTGGGCAAAAGTCCGTTTGCTGTTTGATGAGAATGGAAAAACAATCAGTGATGCTTGTCCCAGCATGCCAGTGGAAATTATAGGTTGGAAGGACCTTCCTTCTGCGGGAGATGAAATTCTTGAAGTAGAATCTGAGGTATCTTAAGTTTGATTCCTAAATATGCCTTTGTTGATATTGCAAAAGGAGGCTAAGTGTTTCTTTCAGAAGTTAAACCAAAATGCCATAAACCAATAGCTTCTTTTCATCGTTACTCACATTTATGAAGTGCTTTAAGTTTTACTTTCTTTACTTTGCTTTCTTCCCAATAAAACTGTTAAGTAGATATGCAAGTATTTTTATTCCCATTAGTATTAAAAAATAGTTGGACAGCCTGAATCCTGTACTCCTGACCAGATAATGTTAGGAAAATGAGAGAAAAGAAAGCTACCTAGACGTGGGTAGAGTTTCTTTGGAGAATTTGTGGAACAACATGCAAGAATTGCACAGAATGAGAAGGGTGGATTGGTTGGTAACTGCAGCAGTAAAGGGAGTGTCCACACGGATAAGATATCGTAGCCAATTTTGTTATTTAGATCCATTCAGGTATCAGTGTACAAACCCCTGAAATTCAAATTTTATAAAGGAATTTTTATAAATTCTATAAGGAAGTAGCTATTACATGGTTTCATGGTAGGAAGAGTTTACTACTATTATGTATGATATCAGTGTACAAAATGCTTTTCCTCATAACAACCTGTGAGTCTTGAATTTTAATTAAAAAACAAAACAAAACCTGGGTTCAAACATTTGTTTTTATTTTTACTACCTATATTATCTTGATCAAAGTCACTTAACTTCTCTAGGCCTTTGTTTCCTAATATATAAAATGTGTGTGCATGGGGAGAGGAGGATGAGGTTGTCACACTACATGATCAATAAAGTCACTACCACGTATTGAATCTGTGGTCCTAGGAGGTTCAAACACAGGTCTTCTGACATCGAGTGCACTGCTCTTTCCAGAACACTATTCTGTTTTTCATACTGAAAAATGCCTCATGTCAGCTTTTCAACGTAGCAGCCATTGATTTTTTCCTCGGTAAATAACACCACTGTCTTTTTTTGCAAAGCAAAGAGCACGTGAAGTTGTTGATTGGAGGAAATATGTTGAAGAACAGGAGAAAATGAAAGAAGATTTTAAAGTGATTGAAACAAAACGAAAAGAACACCAAGATTCACATCGTAGAGCCCGGGAGAAGTTAGGATCTCTGAAATGGAAAGAGAGAGGATATATAAAATATCAAGAAATTAAAAAACTACAAAATGTAAAACCTAAAGAGAAAACAGAAGATTTGAACACTCTTCCTATAATTATTAAAGGTGCTTGTTTGTTAATGTGTTTTGCTTTTGAATTCTTTTTTCAATCAATAAACATTTATTGTGTGCTTACTATGGGCCAGGCACTGTGCGAAGCTGTGCTTGTTCATTATTTACTGCACACAGTATTCGTGATATTTAATTCTCGTGAAGATTTTCCTAGTACAGATATTTTATTTATAGTTGTGGTATAAAATACAACTTATTGACCACTTAAACTCTTAATCAGATATTCGTTATGTTTTTATAGGATGAATGGGTATTATATATAGTCAAGAATATAATTATAACTGACATTTGACATCTTTTTAAAATTAGATTATTCTGATTTAAATATTTTTGAGTTTCAGCCTTTTAACATCAGTAGTCCTAAACTTTGATTTTCTTTAGGTGATGTAGATGGTTCGGTTGAGGCTATTTTGAACGTTATCGATACCTATGATGCTACAGATGAATGTAAACTGGAGTTACTACATTTTGGAGTAGGTGATATTAATGAAAATGACATTAACCTTGCTGAAACATTTAAGGGTAAAGTTTTCATCTTTTAAGTGACCTTCTTTATTTCACTCAATGAATTACTTAACTGTACAATTGATATAACCTATACAGTTTAGCTATACAATTCATAAGCCTTTGTCAGCTTTTGTTATTAACTGCAGGTTTTCTGTTGCCTTTTGAGACCTTACTGGCTAGAGAGTAAGAGAGTCTCTAGAGAGTAAGAGAGTCTCGGGTATCCATTCAGTAGAATCATGACTATTTCTCTTTCTCTTGTTGTCCTCATTGGAGAGCTCTTCTTAGGACTCACAGGTGTCCAGTTTTTTTGGGGGGAAGGGGGTGGGGTAAGGCATGATTTCCCCTACTACAACAGCCTAATTGTTAAAACGTGCCTGTTGTGCTTTTTTCATTGATTTGTTAAAGCTTCCCTTTTGCGTATGACCTACCGGATAAGTCCCCATCATGGCCAACCACTTTGGTTTGAACAGTTTTTAACTTCAAGAGGACAAGGACCATATGTCCTTTTAAATTAACTGTACTGTGTATCATAAATTTAACTCAAGATTACCTTGCACACTTTGTATAATACTAACACTACAGCACTATACACAAACAAGTGCTTTGGGTAACATGTTCCTTCCTCTCTCGGAATAAGGGATATGTAGAATATGGAAAAATTATTTTTGGTAGTGCTATCTGATCACTGAAGGGTATTTGTGGCATGCCTACTGCGTACCACTACTATGTTGGGTAATGTAGATAATTTATGCTTTGCGATCTATGTACACTTTGATGAACAGCCTTTCTGAGGGGCCTTTCATGTGTTTTTTCTAAATGGTTGAGGTACTATTAAAAGGAAGGGGGCTTTATTTAATGATAGTTATATATACCTCGATCATATAGTCTTTGAAAAAAAGTGTGGAAGAAACATTTAACTTCAAGAAACTTATGAACTCTTTAGAAAACTCCTGGCTCATTAAGCCATTTCATCTTTGAGTATTTTATGGCAGGTTTACTTAAACATTCAAGAGCTCACTAAAGGGGTGGCAAGAAGATTTTTAATTTTAGTAGTTTACTGTTTCTGAAATCACACCAGGAACATGTGCAATTCATTTCTTTCCCCAATGTACTTCATTCTGTTATTTTCCTAGCATCAAATGTAAAGTTTTGCCTAGGGTCCACATTATAGTACTTTAGGTGATCTTCTTCAGCAGGGTATCTGGGAAACAGAATTTATATTAGAACCATGTCAATTTCTCCAATCACTTGAGAATGTGATAATTATCATAAAAAGAGTTTTATAGACTTTCTTATCTCTTCACAGTGTCTTTTTGTTCACATACAAAGTCAAAAACATTATTTTCTGTGTGAGAGGCGAACAAATGTTCCAATATTGTGTCAACTAAGTTCTGTTTCTGCCTGTCAGGTGTTGTATATGGCTTCAGTGTGAACGCAAGCAAAGTTATCCAGCAGTTAGCTGTGAAAAAAGGAGTCAGAATTAAATTTCACAACGTTATCTACCGACTTATTGAAGACTTGCAGGAAGAACTGAGCAGTAAACTCACTCCCTCTGTGGAAGAAAATGTAATAGGTAAGTGTTTATAATAGTTAACATTTATATAGTACTTTGAGGTTTGCAAAATCCTTTATACATATTATCTCATTTCATCCTTACAGTTACCTGGGGAGGTAGATGCTGTTATTAACCTCATTTTGCAGATAGGGGAACTGAGGCAGACAAAGGTTAAGTGACTTGCCCAAGGTCACATAGCTAGTATCTGAGGCTGGATTTGAACTCAGGTCTTCCTGATTCCAGATGCAATGTTCTATCTACTGTGCCACTCAGCTATAATCACTTGCTGTTTCCAAAATTATAAATACAAAGCCTTTGTAAAATCTTTGGGCATATAAAATTTTTCACAACTTTGTATTACCTGTGAATAGCACATTTGTTAGCATTTAGGTCAATTGTATTACATTAGAGGCTATAAAATATTGCCTTTTTTATCTAGTGAGAAATGAAAAATGACTACCATGGCATTTATTATTATTTGCTCTTAAATGATGTTTACAGATTTTTTTCCCCATTGTACATACAGCTTAAATTGTTTAAAAGTCATACATAGAGTTTGTGAAGATATTAGGGTCCTAGAATTTGAGAGTCAGAAGGGACCACAGTAAACTTCTAATTGAACCCATACCTTAAAAGAATTTCCAGTTTAACATAGGTTGTCTAGCTTCTGCTCAAAGACCTACACAAAGGGTAGAAATGCCAGGAGCAGAACAAAGGTCTGTACACAATGTTTGTTGATCTGACAAAGGCCTTTGATACTGTCATTTGTGAGGGTTTGTGAAAAATTATGGCAAAATTTGGTTGCCTGGAGAAGTTCATCTGTTTTGCACCTCAGTTTCATGACAGCATGCTTACATGGGTTCTGAGTAATGGACAGTGCTTTTGCACTTTTCCAGTTACCAATGGAGTGAAGCAAGACTGTGTGCTTGCTCCCATGCTTTTTAGCATGATATTTTCAGCAATTTTGTCAGATACTTTCCACAAAGATGAAAACAGCATCAAGGTCAGCTGCTGTACTAATGGTAAATTACTTAACTTGAAAAGACTACAAGCCAAGAGGCTAGAGCTGCTTGTGCTAATTTTGGCCTAACACCCCCAAAAAAAACCAAACCCCAAAAAACACAGGTTCTTCAACACCCAGCACCACACCATCCAGGTATGGAACCGTTCGTTACAGCAAAGGGAGAAATTTTGAATGCTGTGGATAAGTTCACTTACCCTGGCAGTATACTTTCCAGATATGTCCACAAAGATGATGAAGTTGACTCATGCATTGCCAGAGCTAGCTCAGTGTTTGGGAAGCTCAGAAGGAAAGTGTGGGAAAGAAAAGGTATGAATTAGACTGCCTACCAAACTGAAGGTCTACAGAGCCGTTGTGCTGACTTCATTGTTGTATGCCTGTGAAACCTGGACTGTATACCAGTGACATGCCAGGAAACTGGATTGCTTCCATTTGAATTGTCTTAGGAAAATTCTGAAGATCACCTGGCAAGATAAAGTACCAGATACTGAGGTCCTTTCTTGAGCTAAATTGCCAAGCATTTAAACTCTACTGCAGAGAGTGCAGCTCCCATGGGCTGGCCATGTTGTTCAAATGCAAAATGTATGTTTGCCTGAAAGACTTTTACAGAAAACTCACACAAGGCAGATGCTCACATAGAAGTCAGAAGAAGTGATACAAGGACACTCTTGAGGTCTCTCTGAAGAACTCTGGAATTGATTGCATGACATGAAAGACACTGACAAAGGACTGCCCAGCATGGCATGTCTGCATCAAAGAAGTTGTTGTGTGCTTTATAAGCAAAGCAGAATTGTAGTAGCTCAAAAGAAACATGTGATGTGCAAATTTTGAGACATCTCCACTCCAAATGTTGATGTGAACTATTTGTGCCCTACCTGTGATAGAGTCTTCCAAGCTTGTATTGGTCTGATCAGCCATAGTCAGTCACACTGTGCCTTGACTCCAACATAGTGATGTCATCTTGGTCCTCTTCAAGAATGAAGGACAACAACCAACCAACCAGCCCACCAAAATGGAGGGTGAACCCACCATCTGTCTAGATAGTCTATTGCATTTTTGAACAATTAATTTTTAAGAAGTCTTTCTTGCCATAAAGCCTAAACTGTTCTCATTGTAGCTTTCACCTGTTGCCTCTGGTTTTGTACTTGTTACAACTGGAACAAGTTTGAACCTTTCTTCACAGGATAGACCTTCAGATATTTGAAGACAACTATCATGACCTTCCTGAGTCTTCTCCAGCATTAAACGTCTTCAATTCCTTTAACTAGTCTTCATATCACATGAATTCAAGACCTTTACCATCCTGATTGCCCTCTTGGACATTATACAGCTTATCAATATACTTCTTTTTTTTTTTAAACTGTGGCACCTAGAACTGAACACAGTATTCCAAATGAGGTCTGACAGGGCAGAGAGTGTATGACTGTCATCTCTCTATTCTTAGGAGACGTACCTTTCTTATTGAAGTCTAAGATGTTATTAACTTTTTTTGGCTATTCATATAGGTATAGGGGTAGGGATTGGACTTGTAATTTCATTTGTGTAGTTAAGTCCTGAGGGAGACACCTCACAATACAGGTTGTCACCGTCTCTGAAACCTTATAGCCTTAGAGAGTTGCCTAGGACACAAAGGGTTTAGGTGACTAGTATGTGTCAGAGGAAGAACTTGAACCCAGCTTGTCTCGTTTTCCAGCTCAGCACTTTGTCAACCCTTTGTTCATTTAGACATGCTTACCTTTCACTAGAGACTCTTTGCCACAATGATTTTTGAACTATTAACAACTACTTTTTGAGTCTGGCCATCCAACCAGTTCTGAACCTATATAATTAGATTTTTGTTCAATCCCGTATCTCTCCATATACTTTACAAGAATAACATGAGATGCGTTATTGCAAATTTTGCCAAAATCTAGCTAAACTACATGTACAGCATTCCATTTATCTGCTAGTTTAGTGATCATGTAAAAAAAAAAAAAAGAAATAAGGTTAGTCTGGCATGTCCTTTGTTGTTTTTTTTTTTTGTGTGGGGCAGTTGGGGTTTAATGACTTGCCCCGGGTCACACAGCTAGTAAGCATTGTGTATGAGGCTGGATTTGAACTGAGGTCCTCCTGACTCTAGGGCTAGTGCTCTATTCACTGTGCTACCTAGCTGTCCCAACATTCTTTAATAGTATAAGTCCCCCTGGTGGGCCACCCCCCTCCCCCCCTCCGCACCCTTTCCTTAACCCTTTTTCTTTCTATTTCCTTCTTGGGTAAGATGTATTTCTGTATGCAACTGTGTGTGAATGTATATTCTACCCTTCTTTACTTCAGATGAGAGTGAGGTTCAAGTGTTGCCTTACTTCCTCCAATGCCCTCCCTCCTTGTTGTATAAATTTTGCACATCCCATTTATGTAAAATTCTCCATTCTTTCTTTCCCTCCCTCAGTGTATTCCTCTTCTCCACCTATTCTATTCTTCTTTTGAGGCCATAAAATTTTATCAGAATCACCCTCCAGCTCCTCTATCTGATTAGACTCCCTTTATGACCTCTGGTGATGATTAAGTTCTGAGGGGTTCATGTATCATCTTCCCATATAAGAATATAAACAGTTTAACTTTGTTTAGTCTCTCATGATTTCTCGCTCATGTTTATCTTTTTATGATTGTCTTGACTCCTGTGTTTGCATGTTAAATTTTCTATTCAGCGTTATTCTTTTCATCAGGAATGTTTGGAAGTCTTTTATTTTGTTAAAGGCCCATTTTTTCAGGGTTTTTTTTTTTTAGACTATTCTTGATTGTAAGCCTAGATCCTTTGCCTTGTGGAATACCATATTCCAAGTTCTCTACTTCTTTATGGTTGTGGCTGCTAAATCTTGTGTGATACTGATTGTGACTCTTTGATACTTGAATTCTTTCTTTCTGACTGCTTTACCTGAGAGCCATGGATTTTGGCTATAATATTGCAAAGAGTTTTTTTACTCTGGGGTTTCTTTCACGAGGTGACTGGTAGATTTTTTACTTTGTCCTCTAGTTCTAAAATATCTGTTGGTTTTTTTTTTAATAATTCCTTGAAATATGATGTCTAAGCTCTTTTTTTTGGTTGTTGTTCATGACTTTCAGGTAGTCCAGTTTTTCTTAAATGATCTATCCACAATCTGATTTCCAAGTCAGTTGTTGTGAGATATTTCATATTTCTTTTTTATTTTTTCAGTCTTTTGACTTTCTGTTATTATTTCTGGATGTTTCATGGAGTCATTAGTTCCATTTAGCCAATTCTAACTTTGAAGCAGTTATTTTCTTCAGTAAAGTTTTGCACCTCTTTTTCCAAGCTGTTAATTTTCTTTCCATATCTTTCTGCCCTAGCTCATGACTCTTTTCCCATTGTTTTCTCTACTGCTCTCACTTGGTTTTAAAATTTTTTTTTAGCTTCCTGTTTAATTCTTCAAGGAATTCTTGTTTGACTTGTGTACAGGCTGCATTTATCTTTGAGGCTTTGCTTGTAGATTTTTTTTTGAGTCATTATATTCTTCTCTGTTGCAATAATAGCTCTTTATTGTTGGGCTCTTTTTTTGTTTGCTCATTCTGCCAGGCTATTTCTTTTTTTATGTTTTAAGTTTTTTTATTAATTTATTTTGATTTGTCAATCACTTCCATAAGCTTTTGAATTTTAAATTTTTTGCCCCCTCCCTCCCGGCCTCCCTCCTCATAGTATGCTTCAATCTGCATTCAAATTCCATAGTTCTTTCTTTGGATGTGGATAGCATTTTCCATCATGAGACTTTTGGAGATGTCTTAGATCCTTGCATTGCTGAGAAAGGCTAAGCCTATCAACGTTAGTCAACCAGGTACCTCTTGACTTTGGACTTTGAATTAGGACTGGGCTTTGTTCACTTCTCGGGGGGGCGGGGTGGTCTGGCTTGACCTTATGTCCTCTTAATGTCCTTTTGCTGCTTTCACTGTTCTGGCTGGGGTCCTGAAAACTTTCAGTGCCCCCAGAGTGTTGTGATCTGGGGCA